ACTGGCACATGAAACCTTAAATTAGAGTGAATAAATGAAGACTCGGCACACCACTTCTGAAAGGTTGCTGACCCCTGCCTAACCCAAAGGACAGAATGTTTGCAGACCTTTTACTTGTGTTAAAATGGACATCCTGCTACGCTATCATGAATTGCTGTGTAAGGGATAGCAAGTGATACAACTTGGGGTCATTTGGTCAAGGGATCCTCAGATATAGCCCCCCGCCCCGATAAAGAGCTAATTTTAATAATGAAAGGGTCGTAAAATGCACATGCATATGAAGATTGTCTTGAAAATTGATGTGTCACGAGAGGTGCTGAGCTAGAAATAGTGGTGCAAATTGGGGATCATTTAATTAAATGGTTCCCAATATATACCTCACCCCACATATGAGAGCTTCTTTTAATTTTTAAAATGCTCTAAAGTCCCATGTGCATCGTGAGATTACCTTGAAAGTGGGTAAGACAGAACAGGGATTGGGGGGGGGGAAGTTTGAGGGGACAAATATGGGGTCCTGTGATCAAGGGATTCCCAGTGTGAGCTATTCTTAATTTTCGACATGCTCCAAAATCCAGGTGCATAGTGAAGTTATCTTTAAAACTGGTATGCTGCAACAGGGGCGGGGTAGAATCTGGGACAAATTTGGGATCATTTGGTCAAGGGGTTCCTCAGATACATCCTGCCCATAAATTGGGAGCTGATTTTCATAGATTCCAAGGCCGGAAGGGACCATTGTGATAGTCTGACCCCCTGTATAACACAAGCCATAGAACTGCCCCCAAATAATTCCTAGAGCAGATCTTTTAGGAAAACATCCCATCTTGATTTAAAAATGGTCCGTGATGGAGAACCCCCCATGACCCTTGGTAATTTTAATATTCAAGTTGCTCTTGAAAACCTCAGACTTTATCTAAGAGCTTGTTTACATGGGAAAATTGATCAGACTAGCTATTCTGGAATAATATAACTGGGAAAAGGGGTAAACAATGAGGTGGCAACATTTGCAGATGATACCAAACTACTTAATCTTAAAGCCAAAGTAGACTGCGAAGAGTTACAAAGGGACCTCACAAAACTGGGTGACTGGGCAACAGAATGGGAGATGAAATTCAGTGTTGATAAATGAAAGGTAATGCACATTGGACTCCCAGGATGGGCAGGGATGCAAACCCATGCTCTGAAGTGTCCCTAGCCTATTTGTGAGAGGCTGGGAATGGGCGACGGAGGATGGATCACTTGATGATGACCTGTTCTGTTCATTCCCTCTGAAGCACCTGGCATTGGCCACTGTCAGAAGACAGGATACTGGGCTAGATGGACCATTGCCCTGACCCAATATGGCCGTTCTTATGTTCTTAACTATTCTGCAAGAGCTGTTCCAGGATAGCTGTAGCACTTCAAATTCAAACCCATCTTGATTTAAAAACAGTCCGTGACGCAGAATCCATCACAACCCCTGGTAAATAGTTCCAGTGGTTCATTATGGTCCCTGTTAAAAATGTCTGCCTTATTTCCTGTCTGATGGGTCAGTTCGCACCTCTGCGGTTATGCTGTGCTCATGGGCCGAGCCCCTGCCTCCTACCTGAGCCCCTGAGATGCTGCCTCCAGTTGGTAGATGTGGTCCTTACCACCTTCGCCCCTCTCCACGGCTCCTCCAGCCCTGCTGGGGTCAAGTCTGATGAGATTCTGTTGTGGATGGAGAGGGAAGAGGGGTGGTTGTGTTTGTCCAGTGCTCTGCTGGGAGACTGGGCTATGTTGGGGGGCAGGGATAGGGTGACCAAATGTCTCGATTTTATAGGGACCATCCCGATATTTGGGGCTTTTTCTTACATAGATATCTATTACCCCGCACGCCGTCCTGATTTTTCACCCTTGCTATCTGGTCACCCTAGGCAGGGAAGGGGGTGTAAGTTGCTAGGGTGTGAGGCTAGCGGTGGTGCTAGTGGGCCGCCTTGCTGCAGGGTCGGGTTCGGAGGCGGAAGGGAGGGGGCATTGGACCGGAGGCTTCTGGCTGCAGCAGGATGTGGGTGTCTTGTGTTTTAGTGTGTGTGTGTGTGGGGGGAGTAGTAGTGTTGCAGTGGAGGTGGGGAACAGCAGAGTGGGGTGCTGCTCGGGGGTGCCCCTGGAGAGCATCCTTGCTGGGGGTGGGGGTTCTGGGAGGGGTCTTTGAGGGGTGCTGTGATGGACGACACTGCTGGGGTGTGTTGCTGTGGGAGGGGGCCCCAGTGTGAGCTTGGGGTGGTGCTCTGGGGAATCCCCTGGGGTGCATCCCCGCTGAGGGCAATGGGGTGCTCTGAGGGTGGTTCTCTGGGGAAGGTCCCTGCTCTGCATCTTTGCTCGGGGTGATGGGGGTGGGGTTTGCTGTGCTGGGACTGGGTGTCTTTGGTGAGGGGTGGTGCTGGGGTGCCTGTGCGCATCCTGGCTGGGGATGGCGGTCGGGGCTGGGGGTGCGGCTCAGGGATCTTTGAGGGGTGCTGCTCTGGGCGGGGGGCACTGGGTGTATATCCTTGCTGAGGGGGAGGGCTGCTGCTCTGGGGGGGGGAGCGGTGTCCCAGTGTGAGTCCTTGCTGGGGTGGCTTTTGGGGTAGCTGGGTGGGGGGCTGCTGCTCTGGGAGGGGGATCTTTGCTGTGTCTCCTTGCTGGGGAGAGGGGTGCTGCTGGGGGGGAGTGTGGTTCAGGGGTCTTTGAGGGGTGCTGCTCTGGGCGGGAGCCTCTTCCTGGGAAGGAGGGGTCCCATCGTGGCTGGGGGGTGCTTTTGCGGGATGAGGGATCCTTCCTCTGCATCGGTGCTGGGCGGGTGGGGGGGTCCCAGTGTGAGCCCTTGCAGGGGGTGCTGCTCAGGGTGTTGGGGGGGGGGGCCCTGTGCGGGCTAGGGGGCGGGGGGACACCCCTCCCTCCAGTCCCAGCCCCTCAGCCCGCCCGGCGCTGGCAGCATCAGTATGCAGTGGGGTGTGCCGGCGGCTCGAGCGGAATCCCCTCCCCCGGCCCCCCGCCCCGCCGCTCACAATGTCCGCTAATCACCATCTGAAAGGCAGGGCGGCCGGGCTGGGGAGCGGGGGGTGCGCGGAGCCAGCCGGAGAGGAGACGGGACCCGCCGGGCGCCCTCCGTGCAGCCGGGGCAGCCCCAGGGAGCGCGGGGGCGGGGGGGTCTATGGAGGCGCCTGCCGGCGGCTGCCCCCAGCGCCCCGAGGCCACGGCGGAGGGTCAGCCCCCCGCGGGAAGGAAGGGAGCCGCCGGCAGCTACCGCGGCCCGGGCACCTGCCCCTTTGCCCTGGGATCCTGCCATGCCAGCCAGGTAACTCCTCCGCCTTCTGCCCCTGGGGGGCTGGGTAGGAAGGGGAGGGGCTGAGTGAGGGGGGGGGGCTGGAGAGAAGGGGTGAGGGGGGGCTGGGGATGCATGGAAGTGAGGGGCTGGAGAGAAGGGGTGCAGGGAGGTGAATGGGGGGGCTGGGATGCATGGAAGCGAGGGGCTGGAGAGAAGGGGTGCAGGGGGCTGAGTATGTGGGGCAGGGGTGCATAGGGTGGATAGAAGCAGGGGACAGGGGGCATGGGACTAGAGGTCGGGAGAGAAGGGATGCAGGAGGCTGTGGGGGGCAGGGGCTTGGCTGGGGGGTTGTTGCATGGCTGGAATGTGGGTAGCTGGGGGTATGGGAAATGGGGTCTGGATAGAAGGGGTGCAGGGAGCTGAGTGGGGGGTCTAGGGGGTGCATGAGAGGGGGGATCTGTGTAAAAGGGGGTGCAGGGAGCTGAATGGGGGTCGGGTGCATAGCCGGGGTTGTGGGGGTCCCATGGATGATGAGGTATTGGGTGTATGAGAGTTGAGGAGGATCTGCATAGAGCGGGGGCTGAGCGTGCGGGGCAGTGGGTGCATGGATGAGGGGGTCTAGGGAGTGCATGAGTGGGGGGATCTGGGGGCTGAATATGTAGGCAGAGGGTTCTATGGGGTTCATATCTGTTGGGGGATCCAGGTAGGGATGCACCTGTGTTGGGGTGCATGGGGGCCTGGAGGGGGTATGTGTGTAGGTTCAGGGGGGTCTGTCAAGGGCTGGTGAGGGGCTGCTCCTATCTGGCTCCAGAGCACATGACCGTGACAGCAACGGGGGAGGGGGGAATGCCCTAACCTGTGGGTCCCCTAACTTTAGCTGGGAGGAGGGGGCTCTGGGTCAGGGTATTCGCATGAAATGGACCTGGCCTCCCCCGCCCATAGACCTGGCCTCCCCCGCATATAGACCTGGCCTCCTCCTGCCATCTAAACCACCCTTTGCTTGCCTCAGTGCACCCACCTCTGTCTCCATGCCATGCACCTTCATCCCATAAAACCCTCCACCCCAGCTCCTGCCATGCTCAACTGCTGCCCTGGGAGGGAGGGAGGGAGAGGGCAACAGAGCCCCAGCCCCTGCAAAGAGACCTGCTCTGACACATCCTGTGGAATGCAAATTCCCCCCCCCCCCATGATCAGCACTGATGTGCAGCTGTTGATCTGGGAAACTTTCTCCCCTACCCCCCCCACTTCTCCCCCTGGATGTTGGGGGGAGAGCCCAGCTCTGCCCCGTTGGATTCTGGATTGGAATCTTCACCTCCCCATCTGGCTGTGGATGTGGGCGGGGGGCAGGGGGAGCAGGACTGTTTTTTGGCTTTGAATATGAATCCCCTATTCTCTCTCTCTGCTGGGCGAAGGGCTGGATCCGCTGTGGGAGCGAAGGTCCAGGGCAAGGGGTTTAGTGACTGAGCATTGTGCTTGGGGTATATATATATGGGGGGGAGGGAGGCTTGGAGACAGCGAGGGTCTGAGCCCAGAGCCCCAGCCCTGCTCTGAGCTCCGGGCCCCTCTACTTCCCTGGGAGTGCAGAGCCGGCCAGAGAGCAGCTGTCTCCCAGTGCTGAGATACCAAGGATCTGCCATGGCAGAGCTCAGGGCACGGCTTGGGGCGTCACTCTTCCAAACCTCGTTCAGAGATGATGTCTCAGCCCACTTATGCCTTACGCTCGAAGCCACGTCTGCTCTGATGCCTGAAGGCCAGTTGGCAGGCTGGCTGGTTACCTGCTATGCCCTGGGCCTTCTGCTCAGCAAACATGTTCAGGGCAGGACTGGGCTGATGATAAAGGGGATTGTCTCTCTGGAGGTGGCCGGACACAGACCGACCCTGTGGTTCTCTCTGGCTCTTTAATCTGGGCGGCCGGCTCCCCATGCAGGGTCTCGGCCATTATAGCCACAAACCTCGTCCCCCCCCACTCCATCCATCCCGTTCCCCGGACTCGCGCCCGCCTTCCCTAGCCCATCTGGGGCGGAAGGTGGAGAGAGACTGAGCCAGAATCCTGGGTTCTCTGCCACTGATCCCTCCCGATCTGTTGAAGCTGTGGGACTGTCGGGCTGTGGAGGGAGGGCGGCCCCCCCATGGCTGGGAGCGAGTGAGGCTGTGATGTAGTCCCGCTGGAGTGCAGGGGGTGAGAGAAATGTAGGGCTAATGGAGGGTGGGGGGAGCTGTCCTAGGTGGATCCCAGAGCTCATACCCTGGGGGGCAGTTTGGGATCATCCCCTAACACACTGTTCTCCAGCGCTTTGCCCAGCCTATTTGGCCAGAGTTTGACACTCTGGGGTTGGCAAAGCATCAGCGCTCGCTCCAGGAGTCTGGGGTCTTCTCCCCGGCCGCAGAGAGACCCGTGGTGGGATAATACTGTGCCCGGGTTGCTGGGTTTCTCAGCTTTGGCTCTGGAAAGGAAATGCCAAGATCTGACTGTTCTGTGCTGGAAGAGACCATTCTGATCCGACCTCCTGCATCATGCAGGCCAGGGAATCTCACCCGGCGATCCCTGCATCCAGCCCCGATCTGGGGGGCGAGCTAGAGCGGAGCGTTTAGAAAGAGACGTCCCATCTCACCGTAGACTCAGAGCAGTAGAGAATCCACCCTGCCCCGAGGGGGGGCTGTTCCTTGGGTTAATTACCCTTCTCAGTTACAAACGCGTACACTGGTTCCTGTCTGAATTTGTCCAGCTGCCGCTCCCAGCCGTGGTAAAAGGACAGAGAGGCTGGTTGGGATTGGAGAGAAGGACACAGAGAATGTGCCTGGCCGGGCCTGGGGCTTGTCTGTCCTAGAACCAGGGAAGACATGCTGGATTCTACCAAGTCCATCCCAGGGCTGGTCTCCACAATCTAATCTCCAGAGCTTAATCTGGGCTCTCCCCCACCCCTGCCCCACTACCTGTTAGTCCTGATCAAATGCCCAACAGCTACCACCCTCTTCTAGGGCCCTCTTGAAAGTCCAGGGCACTTTTCTCCCCCCCGGATGTGAATTTCCAGGGAGATTTTCCCCTGCTTGGTGCCTGACACCTCTGAAAGTCACGGGGAGTTTGGCACTTGGCTGCCATTTTTGCGTTTGAAAATGGACCCCTTTTATTACCCAAAAGAGGTGAGAGGACTAGACAAGGAGGCGTTGGGAAGGGTGTGGGGTCTAGTGGTTACAATAGTGGGGCCTGGGAGTCAGGACTCCTGGGTTCTGTTCCCAGCCCTGGGGGGGGGACATGGGGGCTTACAGCAGTGGGGGGCTGGGAGTCAGGACTCCTGGGTTCTATTCTAGATTCTGTCACTGGACTCGCTGTGACACCTTGGGCCAGTCACTTACTCTGTTCCTACTGTTTCCTGAGTTGTGAAGCACAGATGCCCGCCTAACCCTGTAGGGTGGCTGTGTGGCTATGCTGCTGTGTATCCAGTGCTTGGAGATCCTCGGTGGGGGAGTTGCTATGGATATGACCGGCATGTTTGTGGCAATGACTCAGCTAGCGTGGGTATATGGCACAGCTCGG